AAACGCTTTGGAACAACTAGGCTGTACATTCCCCCTGAACACCGACATCATTGCATGCAGACATATCATGACCTTGAGTCTTCTGGACACCCTGGACAGAAGGCGATGTTCGCTAAGATGAGAAAGGAGGTTTGGTGGGAAGGTATGGGTAGAGACATCAAAACTTATGTTGCAGGGTGCCCTGTCTGCCAAACCACTAAGGTGGTCACACATCCGCCGACACCACCCATCATCCCTCATGAAACCCCTAAAACTGCCTTCCCGTTCCAGCAAATCTCGATGGACCTTATCACGGATCTTCCTGTCTTGGGAGATCAAAAATACGACTCTATTCTCATGGTTGTCGATCAGGGCCTGACAAAGGCTGCACTCTTCATCCTGTGTCACAAAACTATTGACTCCGTCAGGATCACCAGGTTGTTCCATCAGTTCATATATTCCCGATATGGCATCCCCAAGTCAGTAATATCCGACTGTGGACCTCAGTTCGTGTCCTCGTTCACTAAGGAACTGTACAAAGCGATAGGGGTCAAGTCTAAACTGTCCACAGGATACCACCTGCAAAAAAATGGAGAAAGCGAACGGGTTAACCAGGAGGTCGAAGGGTACCTCTGGCTGTATTGTTCAGAGTTTCCGAACTCGTGGGCAGCCAAGCTACCCTCTGCTGAATTCGCACACAACTCCCGGGTCCACTCCATACATCAAATGACACCTCTTTCGCTTATCCTTGGTTACGACCCCTCCCCATATCCCAAGGTCCGGCTCACCCTGGTCCCCACAGTTGACAAAAGATTGGAGCGACTCGCATCAAATTGGGATGTTGCCATTCTGGCCCACAGGAAGGCACAGGACTTGATGCAAGCACACTCAAAAGGAACATATGTTGTGCCAAAAGTGGGAGACAAGGTCCTCCTGGATACCAGTCATCTTCGGATCAAAAACCAGTGCGATAAAATTGCGCCCCGAAGACTCGGACCTTTCAGGGTGACTCAGGAAGTGTCACCAGTCGCGTTCTGATTGGAGCTTCCTGAGTCCTGGAAAGTTCATCTGGTGTTTCATGGTTCCTGCATCTTTCCGTTCACCAAAAACGATACTTATGGGACTGCACCCACAGCCCCTCTTCCCAAACTGGTCGACGACAAGATCGAATGGGAGGTCAAGTCGATTTTAAATCACAAGGTCGATGGACAAAGAGGGAAAAGATGGTACTTGATCAAGTGGAAAGGGTTCCCCCATTCATCAAATACGTGGGAACCTGAGGAACACATAAAAGATCACACGTCTGAAGCCCTCGAACAATACAAACTCACCCATCACCTGCGAAGCTAGATGGACTCCCCTTGTTCTGTCAATACCGAAAACGACTATGCCAACATCCCCTTCACCAGTGAATCCGTTTACTACACCGATGATGACAGGCTCGTTCCCCCTGTCAATATCTATGCCCCAACCTCACCTCCAACGTCCCCCACTGGCTTTCATGTCTCCGGGTTCTCCTCACCCGTCTCCCAACCCCATCCAATATCACCCCCTGTCGCCCGTGCTTTCGGATCATGTCCACTCAAGGGGATCTCTGTCAAGTGCGTCCTGGCCCCAAGGGCCAGAGCCCCCCCCAGTGGGGACAGTAACCCAAAGGGAAAGGGTAAAGCACACGTTGACAATGACCCCGATAACACAACAACCCCTGCTGGCAGCTCCCATGTTGCCGAACCTGCTGACCTTCACACCGCCTTTACCACCTACTCTGACAGTGCACAACATGCTGCCCTCGACCTCCTCGCCTCTGCTGCCACTGCCAGGCTTGACCAGCAGCGACTACCAATCTCAGCAAGTGACTACCTGGACATTGTTAGGGCGCTTGACGTCTTCAACGACAGGGACAACATTAATGGGTGCTCACCAGAACAGGTTGAGTATTTTAGGATGTTGTCTAAAATCTACAGAGCGTCAGATGTAATCAATGGACTCGTCTCGAAGATCCGTACCTGGAAATTAAGTGGGACAGCCCCCTTGTCCAAGGTAGTCATGATCGACATGCTGGAAAAGGCCTCTTCAGATATTACCGAGGCAGTTACCAGTGGCGCATATCACCACTTACGGCAACAGCAGATAGGAGAGTTTTTGGCTCTGCCTGCTTCTCACATCCTTGATCGGATTATCCCAAAGCAGGAGGAAGCGTCAGCTCCAGCGATCAAGTTAAAAGAAGATGTCTCGGATCAGGAGAAAGAGAAGGAATGGCGTGCCATGGAGTTAAGGTTCATGGACTCGGGAGAGTTGTTTAAAGAGGTTGGTTCTCATCTTGGTACTGGGACTCATAACTCTGCTTGGGAGGTTTTGTTACAAGACACATTGTGGGCCGGAATCCATAAGAACTACTTTAATGCCATCCACACCTCCGACCCTCTCCCTGCGACTCCCTTCGTCCCTGTCCCTGCTGATCAACTTCGGTTTTACCTCGGAGGGCAGTCCCCTGTTCCTCCTGATCACCCCCTCTATCCCCACGCCTGTTTCCAGTGTCGTTACTTGGGACATTGGTCGTGTTGGAATGGACATGGCTCCCGTTTTACTCCAGCCCTCGAGGAACCACCAACTCCATCACCATCATCACCCATCACTGCTAGGACACGTTCCCATGTCTACACTACTCGCCGACCCCTATCTGCTCGCCCCACCAATGCAAGTTCTGGCCCGTCCTCAAGGGTCTGAGGACCTTAGAGGGGGGGTGATGTTATGCTTCCATCAGGGGTCTTGCCTTTTTTGACTCTTCGTGGTCACGTGCATCACGTGCCTTGTTGCATCTCTAATAACCGTCGCCATCCTAGGGGTTTGAATGCTCCAGGGAATGTTAGGATCCCTGTCATCACAGGTATTTCCAATACCTGTCGAGACCGCATTGTCACTGTGATCCGGTATTCCACTGCCCTCTCTGATGGACGACTTGTTTACTTCTTGTTCCGGTGACTCATTTCTGACTCGTCTTTGTTGCCTTTGTGCTGTACTATAGATCCAGTGTCAGGCTCCTCGCTGCGCATTGATTGCACAGCCAGTATAGCCTTCGTTTCCTTGCCTACCCCCATCTTTGACACCGTATGACTCCTCTTATTTTATTGATGAACTCATTGATTGCTGCGGATGTGCGTTGCTCGCAACTGCTACGGTACTCATACTTAGGAGAATATAATCCTATGTACTTCGTCCTGTATCGGCAGTTTTTCGATAGCTTGCAACTGAGCTTCATCCCTTCGCCTTAATCCTTGTTCTTTCTCTGTGCGAACAACCTTAGGGACTCGCCAGAAGACAGAACCTCTGTTGGATCATCGCGATAACTCAGCCATAGGGGTTACAACAAGTTCAGCCCATAGACTCCCACCTTGCGCGCTTCGTGCCTATTCCATTTGAAGAAGTCACTGCACTCAGGCATAACATGTTGGACAGATTTGCAAAGAATGACACAGGAAAGACAATGCCTCAATTCTCTGGAAAGGCTTACAATTCCATTTTCCATGGCATAATGAAGGTGCTGAACAACATCCTTCATAATCCCTATCACAGTGTGAGGTTGTGCGATCAGCTTTCTTAGTGGGCAAAGGAAGGATGGTAGGTACTGGGGTGGCTGACATGCTCATGCTGACTCCTCATATCAGGGCTGCACTGCAAGAGGTTGATTCAAATGTAGAGAGGTACCAGCACATTCAGGTAGTCCTTGATTGATTTCATAATACCTAGTCCTGTCATACCTGTCATTACATGTAGTATGCAATTGATGCCAATACTCCTGTTCCTGTCATACCTGCTGTGAACTGTTCCTAGTTGCGGAGTGATCACATGTTTGCAAAGTAAACATTGAGATGGGGAGTACTGGACAACACCCCAAGGAGAATACAGTCTGGCCAGTTTTGTACAGTGACATCTAAGCATGAAAGTTCCATAGCAATCCATAGTAAGTAAGATATTGGACAAAGTTCCATGACAATGTGACCATTCCATAGTAACAGGCAACTAGCCATAGCAAAAAGTGTTGTTGGGTGCATCTGTCCAGCCTGGACCTAGCTAGGGGACTCTGTGTATTATGGAGCACTGTGGAGAGCTCCACAGCTCAAAGTGATTTACTGATGCTGTCTGCATGCAATCTCACTTCATTGGTTTGACAACTTGGTGTGAGCTTGACAGTACTTGGTGGTACAGAGGGGCAGAGATGCAGAGTACAGAGCTGTGGCATAAAAGATGATATTTGCAGCTAACCAAAAAGATGTATGAATTTCGGCCTGTGGGGACCTTGTAAACATGGTGACAATGTCATGTACTAAATATCAGTGCCGGTAAACTTCAAGTACTGAAAGTCATGGTACTAAAAATCAGTGCCAACAAACTTGGGGCACTGGTAAGTGCCCACTAGATCAGTGCCACTGGCACTGATATTCAGTGCGTTTACTTCCCACAGTGACGTTAGCTGATTTGAATTAACAAGATCCGTTAATCTGGCATTGTTGCTACTGTAATAAACAAGAGTTAGTTACGGTCAATGGCACACTACACTCCAACTTTGCACCCAACTCTTAGTATGGATGGAAAGTTGAGGTGTGAATCGAAAGAGGCTTAGAGGCAAGCAACGATTAAGTCGCAACTGGTGGGAATGAGCCCCACATGTGTTCCTGAATGTCCAAACTCATCAGGAAGCGAAAAAATGGTTTAAACCTGTTTAAACCCGTCACTGGTTGGTCGTGACCGCAATTCTGTCATTCCCCGTTTCTCTGATGCTGTGCAATGTGGTCCATGATGCATACTGCGGGCTCCGGAGAGCGTGCGACATCCCATAGCTGTTTCTGGTCGACAGAGTCGTACGGCCTAAACTGTAGGCTCGTTGTACGATAACAAATTGATACCTCGACCAATGCCTTGAGTATCATCAGATGGTGACCCAGAAGCATCAAGTGACAGAATTCCGGTCTGAATAGAGCTCGGTCTGAGTGGTAAGCTGTTGATACACGCCTCATTAGACGGTTCTGGTATCCAGACTACGACAATTTGGCCAATAACGACGATAACTACTGCTTCGAAGAGTATGAGTATGCATGTATATTAGTTCTGCGAACCTTTATCTGCTATGTCAGGTGTGGCCAACCTCTCGAAAGCCGCTACAGTCTCAATTCTATGCATCCTGCCTTCGTCATGCACCCTTCGTAAGTCCAGTGTGAGCGGGGACATGCCGTCAGCTAATGGCTCGTGGCGAGTCCGAACCCACTCAGATCTGGAGAACCAAAGCGTCGCGCACAATAAACCCATGACCGTTACGAAGTTGTTGATCAAAAGTAGCAGATCGCTGGTAACCGAGAGTTGAGTAGTCGTGATGGAGATGATTAGTACAATGTTGAAGATGAGAGGGAAGACGAAATTGGCAGCGGCAATGTAAAAGATTCGGCGGATACGGGCTGGCATTCGGCCTGCTACATGGCGGGAAATGCATGTCATTCAGTCCGCCTGCAAAGATATAGGAGAGCATACTCACCACGCCTTATTAAACCTGTGCGGACACGGAGACCATAAAGGAAGAGACTAACAGAGTACCTTTTGAAAGGGAGCATTTAAGGCGCTTTCAATGGACTATTCGAAGATTTACCGACTCACAAGTTGTCTGCTATTTGCATTGTCAATTCAGCGAACAAGTATGGATTGTGGGAGATGGGGTTGAAATGGGTCCCGATCGCAGACCTAACATAGTCAATGAAGAAAAGAATCTGGATACAGAATCACCATGCGTGGACGTAGATATCGACAAGGAAACGCACGAGGACCACCACCCGAGCACATTTAATGCAGAAGGGAAATACAAATATCTTCAATAGAGTGATCCGAGGTGTACTGGAGAGAGGATAGAGTGCAAAGAGGCGAGTTAACAATATCGAGTCACACGCGAACGGTGGGAAGACGGTGAAAGCTGTCGCAGCGTCAGGGATGCTATTTGGCAGCCAATAACCCTGGCCAAGTATGCTCTTCCCACAGGTGAAGTTGACCAGTACACTCGTCGTTAAGACAAGGCAGATAGCAAACACATTCAGTCGGAATACCAAGCGACGTCGAGATTCCTTGGTGGAGAGTGCAAGAAGGAATACAAAGAGAGTAAACAAGGACGCAGACAACGCGACGTCTGCAATGGCAAAGATGAAACATGGCCGTATGGCGTTGACGAACCCATTGATGATAGCTCGTTGATCTGTTGTTGAGGAGATGTCCGACATTTGCAAGGTGGGGTCAACCTGAGTGTTAACATGTATCCATATTATGCTCTACCTGATGAATCGAGTGGTTGTCCTGGTACCTAGTTTGCACAGCCAATGAGGGGAGGATCTAAAAAGAGCTTAGTACGCCTTCCGTTGAGAAGACTAGTCTGAATGCCAGAGATCAGTGGTGGCTGGGGAGTTCCCAGTATCAATACTTGAAAGTACAGGATTACGTACTTACCTTGTGGTTTACTTTCCACACTGGCACCCCTGTATTCCGCTTCATCATCGTTGGCCAGTATAAAAGTCGCTGTTGGTCTATACGCGTTGGCAAATCGACATACCAAGACCCACCAAGCTGGCGTCGTTACTACCGTAAGAAGCACATGAAGCTGTCATCATTAGCGCTCTTGAATGTCCCAGCTTCCTCGTAGGGCGCGCAACGCAAGAACGGTTTGGGCAGTACACTCAATCGACCAGAAACAGTTTCATGAATTACGGCAACGAATTGACACCTCGACCACGGCTTGATTATTATCTGGCGCCGACCTACAAGAATCGAGGGTTGGGACAATTCCAGTCCGGATACCGGTATCAACCCGTCTATGGTCAAGCTGTCGGTAGAGCCTCACTAGACGGTTCTGGTGTCTAGACCAGGACAAGCACGGGCATTTTGGCTGTTAGGTGATGGACTGATGTAACTTGGTTTCACGAACTTCAGTATGATATTCCCTTTTGGAACGGTCCCTGCCTTCTACTTTCCGCCCGTATGGCACAAAAATTGTTTCTATTCTGTTGGAAAACATGCAAGAAAGCTGCACTCGATTAGATAAGCGACATTGTGCGTGGAGTGTGTGCTGTGAGACGCGTGTTATTCGCGTGTCGAGACTCGTCGACGCCCTCATATAGCATCAGCTCGTCATCGTTCCGTTCTTTCATTAGTTACTTTACTATTACTCTCGTTTCTTTTCTTCGCTAGTAATTCACCATGGTATTTGGCATATTCACTCGCAAACCACCGATCCCACCTTCCGTCTCACCAGAGCAGTCGAAGGCAACTACGGACTCGGCTGAGCCCCGTCCAATCTCAAGCTCACGCCTTCCCACCCCGACACCCTCGACGGTCTCCATACCCGCATCGGCACGCCAATCGCCGCTACGCTTTCCGACGTCGCTTCGTGCTGTGTTTGCGGGCAGCACGAGCGAACTGGCAGTAGGGTACTCGGATGCGGGCACAGGCGATGGAGGAGAGTCGCCGGCTGCTCAGCCTCCGCTGACACCGTCACCACCACCGCCAATAGCAGGAGACTCGAAGGCATTGTACGATCTTATGTTGACTATACCACCAAAGACGCTTCATGCGTACACACTCGCTCATCTCCGTGCGCTGTCCCCCGAGCCATCCAGCTCAACACTATATAATAGTCCGGGTACTGGACCTCCAATACCCCCGCCGTCGCCGGAGACAGTTACCAAGCTGCATAATTTTTTTGCAACGCTCGCTCCACCTCCACTTCTACACTGTGTACGGTGTCATGCAGAGTTCTATGCAATTGAGAATGAAGAGAAGGACAAAGCGTGTCGAGTACCTCATGACGACGAGAGCGCGCTGGTTTCGCGTGTAACGGGAGGTGGATACGAGACGCTGTGGGGATGCTGTGGAAAGACCGTGGAAGGGAATGGAGGGGAAGGACCTCCTGATGGCTGGTGCTATGAGGGACGACATACGGTGAGAGAATCCGTTCTGGTTTTGGACCTTCTTTACTAGTGCACGTGCTGACGTTGGTGTAGACAGACACAAAGCGGGCGAGATTCCGCGCAGATTCGACAATCCACGACGATAAGCTAACGTCTTGTCTGAAACTGAATTGTCGTGGTATCAGAGATACATTGCCTCGTCCTAGCGAACACCTCGCTCAATCGTCTTCGACACGAAAGTCGAATGCATCCCCTGCACGTTCTCATGGAGTCGCGTCCGTGACGCGGAAACGACCACGCAAGTCGATCAACAAGGATCTGTCATCTGCATCAGAGGATGAACAGGAACATGCAAGTCACCGTGGACGAGCCCAGAAGTGTGAGGATGCCGGCGACTCTAGCATGATAATCGACAATCCCCCTCCGAAAGTGAAAGCTAAACCTAAGCCTAGACCTGTATCCCGAGTCCGTCCACCCAATAGTACTTCCACGACAGCATCCCTGCCTCCACTTCCCTCCAAACCTATTTCGACGTCAAACACGCCTAAGAGTGCGCAGAAACCAAAGTCGACGTCGCGAACACTCCTGTCACAGAGCCAGAAGCAAGACGCATCGGATTCGGACACATCCTCGCGAGTGCGTCCGCGTACGAGGAGTCTCGTGCGCAAGCAATCCAAGAGAGATTCCACCCGTCCGCGTCGTTCCGCGAGGGAGCCATCTCGGTCGTCCCCACTACGGAAAGCGACTCAGGGTTCCGAAGGCGACGGCGACGGCGGCGGAAGTACGGATAACCGTGGTGATGATAGGGAAGAGGGGACGAGAGGGAGAAAGAAGAGACGTACGGGCGCCTGATCAAAGTTTCATCGTCATCTATGATGCTGGTTACATTATCCATGTATGGTTGCTTGTTGTGATATCATTATCTTCCCCCCGCTGTACCGGTATACAGAAACTTTGTCCGATTCGGACACCATCCGCACACCATATACATAGAAAGACCGCGCTCCATCCTATTCCCACCTAGTAATTCTATTCCATACGAGGCTCTCCGATGTCGTGGCAAGGTAAGCACTCACTAGTTCCAAGTCTAAGTGAACACGTCTTGATCCCAATGCAGACTTTGTCGACAAGGGTTTATTGGAAGGCGGGATCATTCGCGAAGCGGCCATCTTTGGAATTGACGGAGGGATATGGGCACAGTCGGCTGGATGCAACGTGTGGCAAGCTTCACTCGCCTTTGCGCACATATCACATCTTTAACGATCCTCCGTTCGATATTTCAATCACGCACTCGTCGTACTTAACAAAATAGATTTCCGAAGACGAACAACGTGCGATCGTCGATGGACTCAACGACCCACCGCTACGCGAAATCCGGGTCGGAGGGCGCAAGTACAGATGTACGATGTCGAGTTTGGACGTGATATTGAGCAAAGGCGCATTGGTCGTCGAGTCAGATGACAGGTCGAGGTCCGGCGGGGATGTTGGTGGGTGTATCATTAAGAAGACCAATCAGGCGGTTATCGTGGCAGAGTATCCACCAAAATCGAGTGAGATGGATGTTTTGGCGGGTGTCGAGCAGCTTGGGAATTATTTGATTAGGAACAACTATTAGGATGGGTTCGCTAATACTATTAGGGCGTTTACTACTTGGAATTTATGTTTGTTCGACGGGTGTACAAACAACGCCATAACAACCGTAGCGTGTAGTACTACCCTCCCTCCGAAACTGGTGACGGTAGTCTCACCGACAGCGGCAACCATGAAACGGACACAGGACAGCTACACCTTTACGGTCGGTAAACTCGGTGCGTGGAGGTTTCAGCTCTCAAGTTCGTCAATACCCTAACTAACAACCTGTACATTTTCCGAAACTCAGATGCGGGCATGGCGGTACGAAAGCCAGTTTCATCTCCTTCAGGAACGCTCATATCAGAGTCGCTCTACAGATACTCATAGGCGAACGGGCTCATCTAATTGAGTTTCCGTCTGTTTTGCTACCTCCAGGCTCGACGACCGGGTCCATCGTGAACATCGCTGTACACCAGAACCTCTCCGAAGAACGCAAACGCGACCAACAGTTTTGGCAGCTACAACACGACATTTTCGAGACGTTCGGATGTGCCTCGCCAGAACCTCCCCGCCTCGAGGTAAACTATACATATGCATATGCTGTCTTTCGTGCGCCTCACTGACCCTACCTCATCAGGTTCGAAATGTCACGCAGACATCCGTTACGCTGGAGTGGCCACCTATCAAGCTTGCGACCGCTAAACTACGGTCTTTGGACATATACAAAAATTCGCAACGCGTCGCCGCGATTCCGAGTGCGCTCACCAACACATCGACAAAGCTATCCGGTCTGTCCCTCGATACGCCTTACACCTTCCAACTCGTCCTCAAAACGTCAGCCGGAACGTTCCACTCTAACACCGTCAGCATACGCACGCATACCATTGCAGATACCAGCGGAATTTCCGTGTGCTTTGGTACAGTGGCAGATCCTGTTCTTCTCGAAGACGCCAAGTCTGCACTGCACGAGATGAAGGCAAAGTGGAGCGACAAGATACAGATCGATACGACGCATTTCGTGTGTACTACTCCTGCGATGACCCCTTCGGGAGCCAAAGCGAGTGGGGGAAATGTTCCTGGTGGACCTGGAGTCGAGTATCAGAAGGCTCTTCAGCTCAGTATACCCGTCGTGCAGCCACAATGGATCTTGGCGTGTCTCACTGAGAAAAAGTGTGTGACCTAGCGTTTCCTGTCTTGCACGTTTCTTACTGTACTGACTCCAACAACTAATTAGAATGGTCCCGATTGCGGGATACTACCTCGGAGTGACCCCTCCCAATGCGGCGAGCTATTATTCCCAGCGGACACAATCAATGTCTCAGGCATCTCTACCTTCGTCAGGCAGCGCCAGCAGTGCACATAAAGCTGCTTCTAACCGATCGTCTATGCCTGCGCCGCCGCGAAGCACCAACGGCACACCTCCATCAAATTCCCGAAAGAAGACCTTTGAACCAACGCCGGAAGATCCTGAAGCTGAGACGGAGGCAGCTTTGGAACATGGGGTGGCGGTGGCAGCGGCGACTCCGCAACCAAGGAGATCCGCATCTGTGACGGAAACACGGCATAGAAGCAACGGAACGATGGATCGAAACTTCAAGTTCCCACAATCCCAACAACCTCCACAACGCGTCGCTTCGCCGCCTTCTCTACCATCGTCACCGCCGCTTGTACCAAAGCAGCAACAGCAACGTCCTCACCCTCAAAAACCGATTCCGCTTCCATTACCACACGAAGCGGAAGTGGGTGAAGATATGCCCCCCGTCAGTATTATTACCCCATCGAGTGTGGAAGTACCCCCGCCTCCACCTGTCGAAAAGGAGAGTAGTAGGAGACCGGTGGTGGTAGATGAGGGAGATGAGGATGTCGGTGAGACGGTCGAGATTGATTTGAGATGATGTGGTTGGCGTTATGTATTTTTCGGAGTAATTTACCAGTTTGTTCCTCGCACCCTTTTTTTTCCCATTTCTTTTGAATAAGCGCCTGGATTCTGAATTCATTGGCTATCTCCAGTATAGTATTCCCCTCCTTTCCTGATGCTGCGGATTCCTAGCTGATCAATCCTGTGGCAATAGTGCCATTTGTCCTCGACACCACGCATTTGAACACGTCCAAAGTTCAGGTTTTGGTATACGTTCTCTTTCCTCACTCGCAAGTTTGCCTTCGGAAGTTTCTGATTCAAGTTCGGTTGGGAAAGTCTGGTACATAAGAGAGTTCACTGATTACACATGGTCTTTAGTCGTAGGAGGGAACATGGTTGCCGGACTAGACATCCTCATGGCTCTTATCATAGGGCGCGACCGGGTATCTATGGGACAACCGCAGACGATAGACTGGCTGTACCACTCCCAGCCGGACAAGGCTTGTCTGTCTCCATTCAGGTCGTCACCCTAGCCGCGCTCATTCATTATGCTGGTATTCCATCAACCATATCGTCTTTCGCCGTCTCTGAGCTCCAAGATAATCATCCGGCAAGGAATCCGAGCACAAGACAGCCCAAGTCCTACATGTATATACCGCGCATCGGTGAGTTTCAACGTGCCGAAGCTGGAGGGAGGCCTGCTTCAAGCCGAGTCATCGTCAACGTTTCAAAAAAAAACCTGTCTGATAAGTGGACTATGCGGTGAGCAATCTTCAATTGATTTCACTTAGGATTCCATTCCGGTTTGAAGCATGCCATCATGGCGGTGGCAAAGCAGCAAGGCGATGTTATAGCGAATGGAAAAACGGCAGGAAGTTGGTTGAAGTTCTGATGATCATGGGCTAGTATGATAAGTGCGCGGCGAACTGCACCCTGCTTGATATCATGCTTGCACCGCTTCACACAAGGTATATATATATTCGGCGATGCCCTGGATGCCCCGTGTGTGAAGTATTGGACCCCAGATTATCCATGGAAACTCCTTTGACTTCGTCTTTGGGGCCCATACTCGTTTCGCTCGTGCTTTCTGGCGTCCTGTATGGGTATGCGCTGGTGCAGACTTACGTATACTTTGCGTTATTTCCGAAAGATAGCTGGAAATTGAAGACTCTGGTATGTTACTCATGCACTTGATTCAACAGCTCCTCGTGTGTCACCAATATTCTATTGGTTCAAGGTCGCATTTGAGATGTATGTAGTATTAATTCCTCTTTTTCCCCAACATCGGTTTGACCGGCCTAAAGGTATCTCCAATCCGCACACTTAGCATTCCTCTTCATGTTCGTGTGGCAGCTGGTAATGGCCGAAGATGATCTCCTCGGGCCTACACTCACTACTGTGATAACTGTCATGTTAAGCGGACCCATCGCATTTTGCACACAGGTAGATCGTCCAGTCATGAATCGAAACGTGCAGATTAAACTCCCATTATGTCCGGCAGGCCTTCTTTGTTTTCAGGCTATACATTTTCTCACACAAGAAAGCCCTTCCCGTCTTCTGTTCATTCATGGTCATAGCTCAATTGGCCATCACTCTAGTATTTGGCTTTTTCATGGGAATTACAGAGCCCGCCTTCATAATAGCCACGGACTTGACCTTCACAGAAAAGTTCATCACACCCACGCTATTCATCACAATATGTGTTGACACGACAATCGCGGTGTCGATGAGCTACTACTTAAAGGCGAGTGAATCGGGCTTACGTCGGTAGGTGTTCTTTAGGACGTTGCGAAATATCGTGACTGGCGCTCGCTGTCCCATAAGAACCTCACGTGTGGTAGATCGGATGGTTTTCTACATCATGGGTGCGCACTACCAGGGCAATTCTGATATGTTGTTGATTCCCTAATCTGGTCCGATTGCGTAGCAACGGGCACGATAACCAGGTGAGGGACTCCATCTCAGTAGTATAACGATTGTATCGACAGAATCTCCCACAAGCATATTTGCACTCGCTTCTGGTGTCGCCGTATGTTGAATCTAACAGCACCCTGTAATCCAAACTGCTGAGGCCACTCACCAGTACTTGATCAACCCTTCTCTGTGTATGTCGCACTTACTTTGCTGTGTGACGTTCTCATTGCAAAGATTTGCAGGGGTTTGGCTGGGACTCTTCATGATCGAGTCAGGCTGTGAGTCTGTCATTCACTGCCTTGGCAACCTGCGTCAGATTTGATTGGTGCTGATGTCCTGCTTCTCAAGTCTACACCAACTCACTCTTAGTAGCGTGTGCCCGGTGTTCCTCTGTGTTCTAATCCATATTTCCTAATCCTCCTGGATGGACAGGCTGAATGCTCGGGCTAAGTTCTCTTACGAACTGCAACACTCAGGATCAGCAGACGGTTAAGAAGTGTCGTTGAGTAGACTTGGCGTATGGTAGCTGCACACCGAGCCAGATTCAAGGACAGGTAGATGGTCAGTGTATCGTGACGGAGAAGGCGGTGTGTATTGTCATATTGATTCACATGAATGTTCGCACCGCTCTCAAGGAAACGCAGGAAGCTGATAATGAAGGGTGGATGGAAAGACTTCGAGGGTGTTTCTATGTGGACATTACATTTGAACGAGAGTAGTAGGAGACCAGTAAGGGGTAGATGAGGGAGATGAGGATGTTGATGAGACGGTCGAGATTGATTTGAGATGATGTGGTTGGCGTTATGTATTTTTCGGAGTGATTTACCAGCTTGTTCCTCACCCTTTTTCCCCCCTCCTTTTGAACATGTGCCTGGGCTGTATAGGATTCTGAATTCATGGGCGTTCATCAATGATCACTTTGTTTACCACAAGGTCATTCCAGCCTGAAAATGAGACGCTTCTTTCGACATACCGTCGCCTCTAAATCAACTCCACACAGCAAATCCCGCCAGCCACGTCACATACTGCAGCTACTGTACATCATATTCACATCATATTCACAGCACGTATGTTGCTGTTTTGTGTGGTGCTTTTGGCGTGTGCAGCGCTCCGGCGTGGTAAACAAGGTGCCTTCCGGCGGCGATGGCCCTGTTCTGGTTCATTGACTATCTCCAGTATAGTATTCACCTCTTTCCCTGATGCTATGGATTCCGAGCTGATCAATCATGTGACTATATGGTGCCTTTTTGCCCTCAACGCCACGGGTTTGGACACGTCCGACGTTCGGGTGTTGGTGTCCATTCTCTTTCGTTACTCGCGAATTTGCCTCCAAAAGTTTCCGATTCAAATTCAGTTGGGCAAGTCCGGTACGTAAGAGAGCTTGCTGAGTACACATGGTCCTTAATCGTAGGAGGGAACATGGTTGCTTGACTAGACATCCCCATGGCTCTTATCATAATTAAGGTCGCGATCGGGTGTTTATGGGACAGCCACAAACGATAGACTGGCTGTGCCACTCCCAACTGGACAAGGTTTGTCTATCTCCGTTCAGGTCGTCGTGCTAGCTGCGCTCATTCACTATGCTAGTATTCCATCAACCATTTCGTCCCTCCCCGTCTCTGAGCTCCAAGATATCATCCGGCGAGGAGTCCCAGCAAAGGGAGCGTAAGCCCTACATGTATATACCACGTTTCGGTGAGTATCAACGCGTCGAGCTGGAGCGAGGTCTGCTTCAGGCCAAGTCATCGTTAATTCCCTGGCGCTGACCACTCCGGTATGTTCCAACGTTTCACAAAAAACATGCTTGATCAGTGAACTATGCGGTGAGCAGTCTTCTATTGATTTCACATGGGATTTTATTATGGTTCGAAGCACGCCATCATGGCGATGGCAAAGCAGCAAGGCGATGTAATAGTGAATGGAAGAATGGCAGGATGTTGCTTGAAGATCTGATGATCATGGGCTGATATGGTAAGCGCGCAGCGAATTGCACCCTGCTTAATATCACGCTTGCACTGCTTCACACAAAGTATATGTATTCGGCGATGCCCTGAAGGTGCCACATGTTGAAGTATTCGGCCCCATGACAGACTACATGCCCTCGTATGCTAGCCTTTGCTTGTTTCGCTGACGGTTTCTGGTATCTTGTATGGATGCGCTCTGGTGCAGACCTACGTATACTTTACGTCGTATCCAAAAGACAACTGGAAATTCAAGACTCTGGTATGTTACTCATGTACACAGCTCAAGTTCCTCATGCTTCATTGATTTGCTTATCGTCGCCTTGGTTTAAGGTTGCATTTGAGATGTGTGCAACATTAATTCCTCTCTTTACCCAACATTGGTCTGACCAGCTTGAAGGTCTTTCGAATCCTTACACTTAGCATTACTCCTCGTGCTCGTGTTTATGACGGTTGCCAATGGTACTCCTCCCCAACTATTCGACTTTTCAATGACCATCGGAATTGGTCTCTTGTGCAGCGGGCCAATCGCATTCTGTACTCAGGTAGACCGTTCAGTTATGAACCGAACTCTGCAGATTAAACTCACGTTATGTTCGGCAGGCCTTCTTCATTTTCAGGCTATATGCTTTCTCACACAAGAAAGCCCTGTCCGCATTCTGTTCCATCCTTGTCATAACTCAGTTCCTCTTTACCCTGATGGGTAGCATTGCCACAACCTCGTTCAAACCACAATTACTTGACCGATGGAGATAGTTTACTATATCCACGCTAATCATCACAATATGCGCTGACACGGCCATTGCGGTGTCGATGCGCTTCTACTTGAAGGCGACCGAATCGGGCATCCATCAGCAGGTGTTCTTTCGGACATTGTGAAACACTGTAACTGACACTGGCCTTGTCCCACAAGAACTTCACGTGTGATAGATCGGATGGTTGTCTGCATCATAGGTGCGCACAACTGGGACAATCTTGATGACCTGTTGATCGCCTAATCTGGTGCGATCATGTAGCGACGGGCGCAATAACTAGGTGAGGGATTCCATCTCAATAGTATAACGATGGCTTTGACAGAATCTCCTGAAAGCATATTCGCACTCGCTTCTGGTGTTGCTGTATGTTGAATCTAATTAACATCGCCCCATAATCCAAACTACTGAAGTAACCCACCAGTTCATTGTCTCGTCCACAACCTGTATGTCACATTTACTTCGCTGTGTGGCATTCTTATCCCAAAGCTTTGCAGATCTTTGGCTGGCACTTTTCATGATCGAGTCTGGCTGTGAGTATATTGTTCACTGCCTCGGAAAGCTGCCTCAGATTGGGTTGGTACTGATGCCCTGCTTCTCAAGTATACACCAACTCACTCTTAGCAGCGTATGTCCTCGCTCTTCCTCCGTGTTCTAATCCATATGTCAACTAATCTTTCTAAATGAGCAGACTGAATGCTCGTGCTAAGTTCTCTCATGAACTGCAACATCCAGGATCAGCGGCCGGTTTAGAAGTGTCATTGAGTAGATTTGGCGTACGACAGCTGCACACCTAACGAGATTCAGAGATAGGTGGATAGTGAGCATATCGTCACAGAGAGGATGGTAGGTATTGACATATTGACGTAGATGATTGTTCTCAAGGAAACGCAGGAGGCTGATGGCGAAGGGTTGATGAAAAGACTTGGATGGAGCTCTATGTGGACCTTACACTTCAACGATTCATTTTGAACAGTAGGGGAACATTTGTATGCTTAGTGATGTTGGGATTCTTCGTGACCTTCTGTTTTCATTAAGGTCATACTTCTACAGTCTTCGTAAGAAATTCATCCTAGACATCAGGTCGCCAAGCCCTAACATAACTGCTTTCGCCAACGGTCAATCACAAAATCACAGCTGCATACATACATTTCTTGTCGAGGTAGCAGTGATTACTGAAATTGAAGGCAGTCGTAGTGTTTACTGAATATTGTACTCCAAAACTGGCTCTCCGTCTTTTCCTTGTATGAAGGGGGGTAACATTGTACGTGAATGTTCAATGCAAAAGGAGGCTGGACAGATAGAACGCCATGGAGCTTGTCTATCAGTCCCGGTGAAAGTCATGTTCTTGTCTCCAAGTCAATTAAACATTGATACAAGTTGCATGAAAGCCTGCCTGCAATGGTAAAGAAGTTTTTTCGCTGTGGTCCCACAAAAGCCTCTGATCAGCAAGTTCACAGTACTGCTCCCACGATGTGCCAGGCTGGTGAGGAACTTGTCTCTGCTCCGGATGGGGGGACTTATCGCCTACACGAACTGTATTATTTCGTCTCAGCGACTCCAAATGATGGGTGGCAGCGGCTCCGTGTGTATTCCAAGGGGTCCTAGTCAGCAGTATGAATTTTTTTCATATCCAAACAGCAATGAAATCAACTTTGCCTTGTACAAAACCTCAGGCCTTCTGTGGTACTTCTTCTCTTCCTTGTGTAGGCAGACATCTCTTCATACGTCCAGTGGTTAAGCTTAAAGTCATCCAGTATGATCATGTTGTTGGAAATATGATAATATATCTGATGTACTTACACATTTTGATACATGTGTTATATCACATGACTTGCCTTAGCAATCAGCTCCACAGTGATGTCAGAATGACATCACTCATTGTGTCATATTCCATAGCATTCTCTGCTATTCTTTACTATATGTAGTAACAGTTTCCTTATATGTTACTGGTCCATGCATACAGAAACATGTATATAAACTCAGGGATATTGACCCTGACTACTTATCAAATTCCACATTTATTCTACTGTTCTTTCAAGAACAAGAGCCCCTACAAACCTAATCTTCAAATCTACTGTTTACTCAAGAATAAGGCAAGTGCTCTTGTCTTTGCTCTTTGTACTGTAGCCTGTCCTCTGTGCAATAGGTTATGAGCCCCACCTTCTAGGTGAGTGCTATTTATGCAGTTTGCATAGAATAGATCACTGCCAACAGGCAAATCACTATGGATCATGTAGGCCTAGATGCACTAGAGTTATCAGTAGTCACCATTGTTTTGTTGCTTCTTGCTGGCTGTCAACAGTCAGTTTTACTTTTATATTATGGAGCTTATGATCCTGGTAACTTGCATTGGCTCTTTGTGAGCTTGACAGCATTTTGGATGACATTTTTAGGTCTCTCCATGTGGTGGCAGCAATGCCAACACCTGCTCCAACAAGCAGTTGTGCACCATGCTTTGATACAAGCACTTGTTATGCACCCACCTACTCCTCCACCTCATTACTTCCACTTTCATCTTCCCAGTATTGACTTTGATGCTGATTTAGACCCTGTACCTCCTTACACCAAGGTTGTAGTGGCTGACCCCACTCCTCCTCAATGTGCTCCAACACCTATGGCTGAGGAAATTGAGGTACTGAATGAGTTGCTCAATCCTGAGCTCATTCTCACAGTCATTGATAATGACTTCACTGAGTTTGATTTACTTTAAATACTCATTTGTCCTCTATTTATTCCGCTACAGGTGCTAATCTACTCCAAGAATGTCTTTGGTTATCACTAAGTGTCTTGAAACTCAAATTGCCAAACATTGGGATGGAATGTATGAGGGTGCTAAATGGAGGAAGTATGCAGTAAAAGAGATCATAGAGTTTATGGAAATGTTGTATGTATGAGACTGCAGTAGTTGGTGTGAGGCTGTGCCTTCTTCCATGGCATTCTTCAAGAAGCTGAATCCAGCTACCTATCTCATTCCACTATCAGTTGTGGAAACAGCATGGCAACTTATGCCCCACTTTCCCAGCTTTGATTCACCATACTTCTGTCCTGGGATTCACATTGCTCATCATGGCTATTTCACCAATTTCATTCCAAAATTAACCCATTCTTCATCTCCACACACCATTGCTAATTAGAATGGTTGCAATCTTCCTTCAGTTACTTATGAAGATCCTTTGCTCTTCACCATCCCCACCTTCACTATCACACACAACACTTTTGTCTATGTCACCTATAACACCCATTCCCATTATGGTCCTGAGTTCTGCAGGATCATCCCACCTCTTCAGGTTTGGCACAAGCATCTTGAATGCTCTTTCTGAGGAATTTGAGCTGACAGCACCACTGACATCAGATGTATCCCAAGGTGGTTCTGTGAAAGATGAATTGGCAGAGATCAGTTCGATGAGAAGCTGTTTGCCTTCTGCTGCTGTGAGTCAAAGTGTGGTTCAGTGGTGAAAACCAACCAAAACCAACACAAAAGACAAAAAGAGCGAGTGGTGGTGTGCCTATGCAGTACCTAGATGGTAGAACCTGTTCTTTGGGAGGGTTTTTGCAAGCTACAACACTCAAAGACAAGTGCTGAGGGTTGGGGGTGCTCCTGATGAAGAAGAAGCAGGAATGTGAGAGAATGCGATAGGGTAGACTGCTGTCAGCCTACAGAAGGATAGATGATGACTTAATTTGATGTCCTAAGCTGCACTGAGCTCAGGGAGGGCTTGGAGCAAAGTATATTGATGATAGACAAGGATAAGCAAAGTAGACAATAGTTAGACCCTTAATAAAGTCTCAACTATTGAAGCTGCTGAATGAATTACAGAGTGATGATAAAATGCAAGCAAGAGGGGCTCTTTGACATCTTCTTTTTTTTTTTTTTGCTATCTAAGTACAGTGATTTATATACAGTACAGGGGTGTTGCCCTTGGAAAACAAGGTGCAAATACTTGGTAAGTGATTGGTAACTGATGAGTAAGGAATGTAAGCGATGGGTAATTGTCTTGGAAAGCATTGGTAAGCATTGGTAAGGATTAGCAAGCCAAAAGGTGAAGAATCAGTAAGCAAAGTCAAAAGATTGGTAAGTATTGGCAATAGGTGAGTCAAAGACAGTCAGAATGTCAAAGTATGAGTCAAGTAATGTCAGGAACTGGGAAAGCACACTGGAATCACATTAGGGGGAGGCTGTGCATGTCACATCTCAAAGAGATTGCTTCTAGGCCAAGGTGGGATGACAGAGAGGCAGTGCTGATCTGATGCCAATATAGTACATCCAAAAGTGGACAGGGTGAGTCAGATGTCAACAGGGGTCAAGCTTTGGGGGTCTGTAGGGTGACAGGAGCATAGGGGATCACAACTTTCCCCCCCAAACCATCCTCTCAGTGAAGCAAATAAAAACTTCATGAATGAGGCTCTGTTGGAAGAGAGGATGAATGGGGAGTGTCTTCTGCTGTATCTTACAACAAGGAGGCAAGATGTGCATCATACTCATCATGGATGTGATCAGGGAGAGTGGGGAACAGTAGATTATACTGTAGCTGTTGCAATCTTGGAAGAATGATGGACGAGACTGGTATGAAGACATTGCAGGGAGCAGGGAGGAAGGATCCATATGCTTCTTGGACTGGAGAGACTGAAACAACCACATAAGACCTCTCCAAGCAAATGACAGACCTGAGGTGACCAAAGAACATCCTCCTAGAGGTCATACTGACAAAAAGAACACACTGTCCAAGCTGGATGGGCTGAGGGGGCACAGATGAGGGTGGGATGTACCAGGATGCTTCAGGACGGAAGCTGGTAGGAACTCCTGGTAGATATATGTAGCCATGGTCCCTAGCAAAGGGGACAAGTGAAATGATTGATGTAGAGGCAGCCATATCAGAAGAATTTAGTGAAATGAGCATCTTTTGGAGGGAGTGCTGTAGAAATGTGTGGAGTGTGCAAATCCTTTCCAATTTTGGAAGGTAAGATCGTGTGGCTGAGCACTACAAGCCAGTGTGGGAATGGTCTTGGTATCTGCAGAAATGGCAGAGATATGTTGAAAACCGGAATGCCATACACAGGTGCTTAACTTGCTCCCTTTCTTTTTCTCTGGCACTGATGACTTGTTCTTGTGCGAGGGATGACTGCTGACATTCCTGGCTGTCCTTCTTTGCATGAGGGCTATGGTCTTCATCTCCATTCATCAGCTGTATCCATGTCCACCTCACCAAACACCTTTGGTGTGTGACACTGCAAACTTAAGATTCAAAGAGATATGGGTAATAGCCTGCAATACTTGTCTGCTAACCACCATCTTGGATGGCTTGACTCTACCAGTCAACAAGAGTATGCTTACTGGCCATCCCAGGAGGATGTTCTTTGAGATCTTGAACATGCCATGGAGAAAAGTGATTTTGACTATCTCTCACAGCCAAGAAGCTGCCCAACACCTGCTACTGCTCTTGCAAGAGCTTGCAGCTCTCATGCCACTCACACACTTCTATCCTCTTCCCAGTACAATGGACATACTGTATGCATCTGGAGGCCAGTACCACAAGGCTTCTGATAATTGTAGTATTGGGGAGTCATATACTTCTTTTGAAATTGTTGTATGATCTGGACTAGTAGGATCTTGCCACAATAATTTTGTTTTTCCTTTTCCATATAGTTGTGCTGAACCTTATTTAGGGTTCACAAGGAACAGACTTCTGCTACACGATGTGGTGTGGAGTTTCTTTGGGTACCACTATTTTGGACCCTTAGATTTTGATTTCCTTGAGAAAAATAACTCTTGTATTGGTCTTCACCAATTCACTGAGAGAGGCACTCCTATCATTAAGGAATGGCATAATCCTCGTCCTCATATCCCCAGGCCTCATCATAACTGCAAATCTCAATCTGCTAGAGCTTCTGCTCACAGACCAAAATGTCAACAGGATCATATGTTGAATCCTCCATCCCATTCAACTCATCCAGTCAAGTCATTCCTTTATGAACACTTGCTAATGGACTTCTAAAGATGTCCAAAGGATTG